AGTTGAATCGAACAGGTGGGCTCGGAGCTCTGGGTCCGTCAGCTGGTCTGTGGCTTCCTTTAGAGGCCCGGAGGTGGCCCAAACTGCTCTTCGCCTCCTGTTTAGTTCTTCCTTCAGATCGTTCTCCATGTTCATAGAGCGTCCGGGATACACGTAAGAAGACGTCTCCACAATTGGAGAGCCCTCTAATTCCATTTCCTGATGCTTGCAAAAGGCGTTCTTCAAAAACTAAGTCTTCTTCCGGTTGATTCGCAATCCTATCCGCTTCTCTACTTCGTTTAGTTTCTTCAACATCGTCTCCGCTTCAGTGATATTTCTCGAGGAGAGAACAATGTCGTCTGCAAAACCAAGATTTGAGAGGAATCTCCCATCAACTCGTATACCTCTCTCGTTCCAATCCAGTGACTTCATCACCCACTGCAACACGGCGGTAAACAGCTCTGGCGACACGGTGCTGCCTTGTCGAACCCGCTTCGAAAATGGTATGCTAAGGGGGAGGGGGGATGAAAAGCTGCATTGTTGTAGGTGAGCCTACCCCTCGTCGACGAGCGCTGACATATAGCGTTCTCGACGCCGTCAAACGCTTTCTCTAGTCGACAAAGATCAGGACGAGAGCTGGCGGTACTCTCGACAAACCTCGATCCTCGAAACCGTCTGGATGTTACCAATTTTGAAGGGACGTTTGCTTTGTGCTTCCTTTGAAATATCTTGCTGGATTTGGAGAATGCAGGTGCGCAGTTCTCAACTTCATTGAGAATGATATGACTATGCAACAAAATTCGCATCAAAAATTTCAGATTGGAAAAATTAAGGGAAAATGAAAGCAGGCTATCTTATCTCATTCATAAAAAGGGAAAATCAAATGTTGTACAGTAGCCTGTTCGCGCATACACTTCCACGCAGCTGAATCTCTTCCGAAATCCAGCTTGTTCTACAGGTTGGGCTTCATCCAGTGTCCTTTATATGCGAGTGAGAATAATTTTTAAAAGTTTGTAAAGCACGCTCAGCAGGCATATTGAACGGTAGTTCCAAAATCCTCTCTATCGCCTTTCTTATGAAGGAGGATTGTTCCGGAGAGCCCCCATTAGTAGAGGATCCTTCCCTTTTGAAGATAAAAGGTCAGCAGCGCAATTATCTTGTGTAGGCGATGTCCTTCAGCACTAAGAGGGCGGGGGAAACCTCATCCGCTCCCGGAGCCGTGGCAGCCTTTATGGTCTGGATTGCTGCGCGTACTACAGCAGGTAGAATTCGTGGTGGTATTTCTCCAGTGGGAATAACGGGGTTTAACACGGGTGTTGATGAGCGGAAGAGATCGGTGTAAAATCGCTTCATGATCGATTCCGTCCTCTTTGAGAAATATGGGCGAATCTCGCCTTCATTTAGTAGTGCTGTCAGCGGAACACGGTAGTCGGGAATGTC